AGATTTGGTTTATCAAGGTAAATGAGTTGAGAGTGGGAAGGACACAGACAAGGTCTCTGCTGCCTTCCCTTTTTGCGTTACTTTTGCAAGAGATTGGAGATAAAAAGTTCAATACATAGTATATCCTAGAATCTTGGGTGGGTCTTATGGCTGCTATTGCACAGTACTATTCTGTATATCTGGAACCTGAATGATCAGTTTTTTCTCCAGAGTTGGCAGTCAGACCCTGGGAAAACCTGGCTCATAAGCTTACAGTCAGGCAGATTTATGTCACAAAAGCACTTTGAGAATGATTTTCCATGTAAAATAAGTTTTTCACTGGGAAAAACTTAAGCTAATTTGAAATGTAGACCAACGTCATAAGCTGTTGCAAGGACAAATTAATTTACTATGTGCTAGGCACATAGTAGGTTGCTTTAAAAGTATTACATTTTCTTTTATTCCCCTAAGCAGTGCTAGGCATATAATTGGCTAAGAAGGAGGGGAGCATATTTGTTGAGTCACTAGGTCAGTGTTCAGAAGTCTGTGGGGTTGAAATGCTTGGTTTCCAAAGACGTGATCATCTTAAGCAAGTCACTTTGTAGTCAGATTTTGTTATCTGCAAAATAGCAATAATCATACCTGGTTCTCAGGGATGTAAATTAAGTAAATCATGTGCTTGGTAATACAACCTGTTGTCCTCACAACTTTGGAAAGTAGACATTTTGCAGAAGACAAAACAGGTTTGGATCAGTTTCCTTGCTGGAATGCATAATTTAGTAAATGAGAAATGGAAAGAATAATTGTTTTTGGCCCCATCCCCCACCTTCAGAAACTTTCTGGGAAGACACTGCCTTAAATTCCTGGTTGCCAATCTAATTCTCATTCACCAGGTAACATCAAAAAGTTCGGTAGAAATCTAGAAAATACCATTTTCTTTCTGATTTGTCCATAAGAGTGTCCTGTTATAAATTGAAAATATTTTGTTATCTTTTGGTTCTCCAATTTCTCTTTCTCAGTTTCTCTTTTAATTGAATCTGCAACTGAGCGGTTTTCTGTATTATGGAAATGCAGCTAATCCAAAAGAAAGAAGTTTTATTTTCAAGGGAGAGTTTTCTTTTTGTACTAGAAATATAGAAGTCACAGACACATTTGCTATTACATATTCAAGTACAAAAGTTTCAATTTAACTAAAATAATTTTTTCTAGCTTCATATTTAGTTGTTTCCACCTACTATAAGTTTGATTTGGCTTAATGTTATTTTAATTTGTTTGATGTTAATGTATGCTGAGTTTAAATAGCTCTCGTTTTGAGATTCATTTCTACACACATTGTTCTCCTAATCCTCCCTTCCTCTACACATGCCTGCTTGAAATCAGCAAGAAATATTTTTTCTACCAATTATTATGAAAACATTGATTTGTCTGCTGTTAGTCTTTTCTGATTAAAGTCATTCATTTGGTTTACATTTTTTGGAAATCTTTAAAGCTCACTTTTTTGGGGGGTGCAAAAGTCTAGAAACTAAATATTAAAAATGACACTTTTAAAAAAAATTTATTGTGGACACCATTCCTATTTCATGCCCTTAAAAACACTGTCCAAGTCCATTTTGTCTACCCCACACTTAGCAAGTTCCACCCAGTTCTGTATACGATGTACAGTCAGCACCTGGTTGTAATATAAGGCTTATTAATAGTTTCTGTCCTGTAACAGTTTATCATTGAGTAGAGGGAGCAATCCTCTGGAGGAAGGCATGGCAACCCACTCCAGTTTTCTTGCCTGGAGAATCTCCATGGACAGAGGAGCCTGGTGGGCTACAGTCCAAGGGGTTGCAGAATCAGACATCACTGAGTGACTAAGCACAGAGGGAACAGTACCTTAAACAAGTACATGAAATCCAGTGTGTTTGTTTTGTAAAAAGATGTAATTCTCAAATAATTTCTTAGGTTAAGAGGATGAAGGAGAAACCATTTGGACAGAAATAGCAGACTTAAGTATTGATGTTGCTAGTTATTAAGGTTGATTTGACACTCCTGGAATATCAGAATTCTATGTTGGGAGTAGCTTGTAGACAGGACTAGATCCTGAAAAGCTTTGAATTTTCTTGCCAAGGAGTTTGGATATTATCCTGATATCCAAGTGTTGGTACCTTGGAAGGAATATTTGAACTTTAGGACAATACCACCTATTTGAAGGGTGCAGCCTTATAAGTCAGTTATGAGGCTGTGACAGAAGTTCAAACACTATAATGAGGAACAAACAGGCAATGGGAATAGAAGGAATATGAACCAGAGAAGTGAAAGAAGAAACAGATTCTCTAAGGACTTCATCATGGAGATGGTAGAGATCTTGCAGAAGATGAGAAGGGAGCACCTGGTTGACTTTCAGATTTTTTATGTGATTATGTGGATTAAAGTCAGGTTAGGTGAACACAAAAAGAATGTGTTTGAAAGAGAAGACTATATAATCAGGAGGGCATTTAAAGGTTAGGACTGCCAGTCCTTGTATTTATTGGTGCTTCAGAGAACTTGAGGAACTTTCCTGAGATTTGGGTTAGACCAGGTATGTGCTTTCTTAACATTTTTGTCAAGTTTGAAAATGGAGAACAACCTTCATGGAAAGGAATATGGTTGTTTCATAAACTTAAAATCTCTGGAAATTTTAAGTTCCTCCTTCCCCACAAACTTGTTCTTAAAACCTTCAGAAATCAGGATTCTACCCTCATTTTAATTAGTTGGGTGTGTCTTGGGACAGATAAGAGTTTATATTTCTATAATGTGCAAGTCATAAATTCAAGGAAATAAATGGTATATATACACTGATGTTTTCATATTCTTGCTCCACAGCATCCCTGGAAAGTAGAAGTAAGATTTTACCCTAATATTACAGAGGACAAGTAAAATTTGAGGTGACCTCCTATTTACTTGTAAAGACAAAAGCAGAAATATAGACTCCAGCTTGACTTCATCACACTCAAAATAGTCATATTTCTTAACTAATAATCATCCTTTAAAAGCAAATAAGTACTATCCCCCCAACCTTTTAACTTTCTCATTCACTGGAATTGCTTTTAATCTAGTGTTGGAATACCCAGGTTTGTTTTGTTTTTACAGTATCAAAATGGGAAGACCTAGTATTTCTTTTTACACTGTCTAAAATGCAGAGACCTGGATTTGTGATTTTTATTTTTAACCTGTGCTATGTCAGCTGAAGACTTAATTTCTGAGTTTGACCCCTTTCCTGTCAGAGGAGTTCTAGGGTCTTCTACTGAGCGTGGATTCCATAGGCAGCACTGGGTAAATATTTTATCATATAATTTCTCAGCCTGGGTACATGTTTGGAGAAGCTATTGGCAGACAAGTGGGCATCTACCACGTCTTTCTGTTTTTCTCCAGGCAAGTTTAAATTTTTAAATTTCACTTTAAAAAGTGAATTAATAAATTTAGAAACGTTGGTATTGGGATGTGGGTAGGTATCTACTAGAAGCAGGTAAAAGGAAATAGTAGTGTTTGATTGCCCCATGGTTTTCCTTAAGCACCACTGAAATGTATCTTTTTGTAGGGGAATACTGCAACCAAGTGGCCTAGCAGTGGGAGAACACAAAACAATCTTATTTGACCCGTTTTGTGAAGAGTGTTGCTACAGTTACACTGTTAGTGTTTACTGGATCCTGTACTTAACATGTGATTAAAGATAGCATACCGTTGACTAAAATGGTGTGGAGGTGGCATTACCAGTTTCAGGCACTTGAGATGGCACTTAACTTTGGATCAGAAGTGCTTTTTCGTATTTATTTCTCTTCCTTTCCCAGAATCATGTCATTTAAAGTGCAGCTCTAAAAAATGCCTCTCCTTCACTTCAGAGTTGTCTCTGGTTTCTAGGTTCCTTTCGTCTTTATTCACTGCTGCTTCCTTCCCACTTTACAAATCTTTTGCTTGTCTCGTCTCTGCAGTTTCCTTCCCATTCTGTTCTGTCTGTTCTGATTTTACTATTTTGTATGCTCTCTTGTGGAGTATATTTCCTAATGGGTATCTCTTCATCTATATGTCTTTGAGGAAGTTTATTTAAGTTATTAGGGCTTTTTCAGATTCCTCTTTAAGTTAAGTCAAGGTATGTGATGATGACTAAAGTTTTGGGGTGTGGTGTTCTTGATTAAAAAAAACAATATAGAAGGGAGTAAAGTGAAAGTAAACCTCCTTCATTCTTGCACCCCTCAGAGACAATTGCTAGTTATTGGTTCTTAAAAGTCTATTTTAAAAAGCCAGTTTGTGTATTCAAGATCTCATTAAAAACATACTATATAACAAGATAATCTTGGAAAAAAAGTTCCCTCCCTGCACGTGTTGTAGATCTACTGCCTTTTAAGGGCTGAAAGGGTATCCTGTAGTATGAAGACACCATACTTTAACCAGTCTGAGGATCCATGGACATTTACATTGTGGCGCAGTGGTAAAGAATCCGCCTGACAGTGCAGGAGATGCAGGAGATGTGGGGTCGATCCCTGGGTCAGGAAGATTCCCTGGAGGAGGAAATGGCAACTCACTCTAGTATTTTTTTCCCAGAAAATTCCATGGACAGAGAAGACTGGCAGTCCAAGGGGTCACAAAGAGTCGGACACAATGCCTGAGCATGCATGCACACATGTGTGCTTTTTTTAAAAAGTCTAGGTCATTTGGTTTTTTTTACAAAAAATGATTAGAAGCTATAGGGTTTGGTCTCTTGAAAATGAAGAACAATTTAGAAACGTTTTAATTTGGGAGGTTGCACCCCTGATTTGTGCATCAGAATTTCACTTCTCAAGATGGTATGGACAAGTTACGAAGTTAATTATAAAAGCTGATTTATCATCATCTTTGGCATATTCTGTTTTCTTCTACCTAGTCCATCCAGTGCATTTTGCGTTTTGAAAAAAAAATTTTTTAACATTTGTTTATTTTGTTTTTTGGATGTGTTGAGTCTTCCTTGCTGCACTGGAACCTCTCTAGTTGCAGCAAGCTGGGGCTGCTCTCTAGTTGTGGTGTGCGGGCTTCTCATCGCAGTGGCCTCTCTCGTGGAGCTTGGACTCTAGGTAGCGCATGCAGCCTTAGCAGTTGTGGCACAGGGCATGCGGAATCTTCTGGACGAGGGATGGAACCCATGTCCTCTGCATTGGCAGGCGAACACTGGACCACCAGGGAAGCCCCTGAAAGGTATTTTTTGAATAGAAGAAAAACAACTGCCCAGAAGGAATCTAGAAAATGGAATTGGGAAAGTTATTACATTGGAGGAACTATTGGTGTCCTTCAAAGCCTACCAACTGAGGTGAACCTAATAGATGTTACTTACATACATCATAGTAAGAACCTTCTCCATTTTCCTAAGTGTTAATTAAAATCACACCCTTATAAGATTTGAAAGATAAGAAAATACTCTGCAGAATTAAGATCTTCACCTCACTGTCTCCTAATTCCATGGTAAAAAGGGTACTAAAAGCTCTAAAATTTGCATTTTTCACGATTCTTCATACTGTTTTTTAGTTGATACTGAATCATACTGTTCCATAGTTGATACCAAATTAAGTATTTGGTATTACTAAAAATTATAAGAGATCATCTTTAAGCTTGGAACTATCAGAAAACTTACACAGCCTTTTACTATTGACTGTGAAGATGACTTCCCCATCATATTATATTTTGTTCAGTAAACTTACATTGTGTGTGCCGTATTAAGTGTGCTAAGACATCATCCTCTCTTTGGCTTCATCGTCTCATTAAATGAGATTAGAATTGGCTCCTTTGCATCTTGGTAAACAGTGGTTACTTCACGCTTTCCTTGCTTCAACACTGAGGATGCATTCCGCATCCTTTCATTAAGCTGATCATTGAATTTTTATGAAATTTACAGTCTTAAAATAGATGAAACCCCAATAAACCAATCAAAACAAATGTTCAGAATTGATTGTTGCATTTTAAAAATTTACATTGCTGTCTCTGTATGCTATTCATGTAATTACAGTTATTTCTCTTATGGCTCTTGCTGACTTAGCTATTAGCTTTAATCTTTGAGATTGAATTAAATTGGAGAGAACAGTAATTTCAGCATGGTTGGTTTGTCTTTAACTGTTATAATATTTTGAAAAAATTGTGGCTTTTTGGCTGACAGTAGCTAAAGAAATGTCAGTGAAAGTGCGTTATCTAACATGAAGTACTGTACAAATGACAGTTTTTTAAGAAAGTTTAATCCACACATTTATTGAGGACATATTACATGATTGATAATATTCTAGGTGCTGAGGTTACAAAGATGAATAAAAGTCAAGAGAATTCCAAACCCAATCTTTTTATTTTTAGAAACAAGCTTATTATAATAATTTATGTATCATAAAATTCACTCTCAAAGTATACAAGTCAGTAGCTTTTAGTATATTTAGAGTTTTGCAACCATTGCTACTGTCTATTTTTAGCAGGCAAATGAGTTTTTAAATCAGCATTTTAAGTTTTTTTTCTTTTTGCCTTTATTTCAAAGGTAAATTTTCTTCTGCTTCTGCAAATACATGCTTAAGGGTGATATTATATGGAGTCTCCTCTCATCTATAACTATTCATCAGTTAGGAAGCAGATGGCATTGGCTTCCTTCTATTAAAACACTGCTGAGTGATGTGACATCTGTAAGAATACATGCAAAAATCACTAATAATTTGAACAAATAGGTTCTTCTGGAGGGATCATTTAATACTGCACAAATGTGAGCTTAGGAAAGAAATACTCTTTTTTTTTTTTAAACTGAAGTTGATTGTTTTATTATGTTACTTATTATTTTTATTATGTTAACTTCAGGTATACAAAACAACATAGTGATTCAGTATTTTTATAGGGAAGAAGTATTCTAAAGACCACTTAGTTTGTTGAGATAACAGAAATCCCAAGTTTAAAATCAAATTGTGCCATGCTCACTCACCACCTGCTCAAATATATAAAGTAACTTGGTTTCAGAGCCATTTTGTGTCTTATTTTTTTTCCCAGAGATTAGATAAGGTTTTTAATTTTTTAAAACATTAGTGGGTCTGTAGGTTTTGTGAAAATACTTTCAGTTAATCTCTGGCCTCCCCAAAGCTCAAAATGGTTAAACACCAATCACTGCTTAAGTGGGCTGCTTGTAAACAAAGCCCAAAATGAAACCCCTGTGTATTTGCTGCAGATTCCCAGGTGCCTCTCAAGTGCAGGAATAAGCTCAGAAAAGGTTTAATAGGTTTATTAAGTAATCATCCATTAAAAGGCTCATGTGCTACTTGTGTGTTGCATCAGGACAGGTGCCTGCCTCCTTACTGCACTTAGCACTGAAAGAGGGTGAACCCTAGAATTTAGACTCCCCAGTCAGCTGTTTAGGCAGAAGAATTTTGTCAGGAAAAACAAGGTTGTAGAGCTACATAAAAGATATCAGTCAGAAGACATCAGGCCATTAGATTTTCTCTGATGTCTAAGAAGAACATTTCTCAGGCTGAAGAGTGGATTGATTCACTTACTATTGGGTCAGTTTTGTGGCGATTCCTACCACCAACAAAAATTGATTCACAGTCACTGATGATGAAAAGGAAAGTAATATTTAGCTATAGCCTTAATATTCCTTAGCAGCTTGCCAGCATGATAACTGGCACAAATTATGACTTCTTGGTCAAATCCAGCGTCAGTGAAGGTAGTCGTTCATATCTTGGAGATGACCTGAATTTTTATAGTTTTGATAGTATGTTTATTATTTGTGGAAGGAAGGGGATTGTGAGGGTAGAAATAGTCTGTCCTGTAATGGGATTTGGCCTGTGTATTAATGGAATGAACTGACCTTTCTTGCTGTACTTCCTCTGTCCTTGCTGAGAAGGGAGAAGGGAGGTTGAAGTTTCCTAGAGTTATTGATGAAGCTGGCCCACTGCAAGAGGAACTGTGGACTTTTGACCTTGGTGATAATGGAAGGTATTAGGGGAATTTGGAGAGGCCACAGGTTGGTGTAAGGACTAGAAAGAGTTGTGTTACATTTTTGCCTCAAAATATTGTTATATTTAATATACAAATTAAAGCAGTAGCTTCTACTTTCTCAGTACTTCTTTTAAAGTTTGTAAAACCTGTGTCAGTTTGACGTTGTTTTTTCCGAAGCAGTGCATGGTCATTTTCTTCAGGAGGCAATTTTCTTTTCATTTATCATATGAAGTTTTGTTAGACTGAAAAAAAAATCTACCTCATTTCACAGGTCTATGCCTTTTCCTATTATATATCGAGCACCTTTCTCATTTTTTTCCTTTCAAAAAGTCTCACTTAATGAAAACAATTAGAAATATTATGTTCTTGTTTGTTTTAACAATTCTTTAACTAATTTTTAGTTTAGACTTAATTAGTGAAATGCATCAGTGGCCTTCTGATCCATCACATCTTTCTTTTACTTGCCTCTCAAAAACATCAAAGAACACTAGTCCCTGTTTAAAAGGAAAACTTAAGTGTTTGGCTAATTATTTGCTGATAAATTATTTTCTTAAAAGCAAATTTTAAATCTTTTGTATTTCAGAATCCCTTCGTCTCAAACACACACACGCACACACACAGAGTCTGACTATTTGGTTATTTTTCTGAATCACTTTCATAAATACTTACTCTGGTATGGCTAACCAGAATTGTAGTGGAATGAGGTTAGGGAAGAGGTCATTCAAAGACAAACACCAAGGCTTTTGTTTTACTCATATATTTGAGTGTATTTCTAAAAGAACTTTTAAAAGGATGGCATTCCTTTTAAAACGTGGTTACAACTCCTGAAACTGTGGGTACAAATCTAGTTAATATTAATAATTTTTTCTTACGCTTTATGTGATGTTTGTGTGTGCACATGTACACACACACACACACACACACACACATGCGCGCGCGCGCCCTGCTCTGGATTTGTCCTTTGGGGTTTAGTTTCTGTTCATTACATTTACATCACCTCTTAGTCCAGATGTTTTGTGAAGTTGGTCCTTGGTTTGGATATTCTAAATTATTTATAAGGTATGTGTTTACTACCAGCTGCCTTTTTGTTGCAACCAGCCCTAGAGTTCTTCCTTCCTTCCTTCCTTGATGGATGTTGAGGGGTTTTTTTGATCATGGAAATCACAGTTTATCTCACTCTACATTTTTGAACATCTGCCTCCCACTATTACAGCTCTCAGGCACAGCACTTCATTGAAGAACTTCAAAAACCTCTGTAACGACTGAGGGGTAGACCACTGGACAGGCAACATGAGCTCACTCTTAATCTGTCTTAATGATTTATGAAATTAGCATTCTTAAACTATAACCCTGGTTTTTTGTATATTTTACATCCTCCTTTCCGTAGTTTCAATTCAAGGATAACTTGCCTGCTTAGAACTCCCCGTTTATCACAGAGAAATCCCCTCTGATTTCCCACAGGGCGAAGTAATGTGGGTTGATGCATATTGAGCTACTTCTGTGCTTAGTATCAAATTGTAGTCCTGTGGTAAATGCTCAGAACTTTCCAAGAGGGGAATCACAGTAATGCAAACATGCAGAGTAAAAAGGGGTACCTTTAATTTTAGGATGTGTCCTCCACTAGGTATGATTCCGGCGTTTCACAGGATAGTGGAGAGAATTTGTTGTGTTCTCTACCTTGTCAGACAGTCACTCAGTTGCATTTGACTCTTTGCAACCCCATGGACTGCAGCACGCTAGGCTTCCCTGTCCTCCTCTACTTAGAATCTTGAATTTTAGAAAATGCCTGCTTCCTGCAGTTTTAGAGTGAGTTTTTGCCAGGAGAGTAGAAGGAGGTAGGAGAAGCCTTGTTATATATGTAAACTATTCTGTTTGTTTTAGACACTTAGCATGCTCGTGTGCCAAGAATTGAGGTAGATCCAGGAGGTCTTCACCAGAGCCCTGCTGTCTGGCTTGGTCATGTAATACCATGTTGCAGGGGGCGGGGTGGAGCAGAGAGCTTGCTTTAATGGTTTCTTGTTATAGCCCTCAACAAAGCTGTGTCAATTCCCTTGGCTTTACAGGCTATTGCCCAGAAGAAAAGATGTTTGGTTTTCACAAGCCAAAGATGTACCGAAGTATAGAGGGCTGCTGTATTTGCAGAGCTAAATCCTCCAGTTCTCGATTCACTGACAGTAAGCGCTATGAAAAGGATTTCCAGAGCTGCTTTGGGTAAGATCATGTGATGTTTGTACCATTTTTAGAGTGAAGAAGATCACAGTCTAAGGAAATATTTCTAAGCAAAGGGATCGGAACAGTGCAATAATAATTAAAATCACTCATTCTAATCTAGGTTGTTTCAAGGCACTTGCTCTTAAATCCAAACAATACTGAGAGCATACCTTTTTTTTTTTTCCCCCTAGATTATGAGAAACTACCAAGTTTATTGTGAAAGCCCTTAATCATGGGGGAGTTGAGAGGGAGGCTCAAAAGGGAGGAGATACTTGTATACTGATAGCTGATTCATGTTGTACAGTAGGAACCAAAACAACATTGTAAAGCAATTATCCACCAATTAAAAATATATTTTTAAAAAGTTATAATAGAACCTTTCATTGTTAATTTCAAGATGTATAAAGAGATTAAAAAAATAACCCTTATTCTCTCTTAGAGTAATTGTCCTTTACTAGTTTTCTGTACTTTGTATTGTTTTTCTGTTATACAAATAAATTTTAACGCAATCTGCTGAGGATACTAACAGGGTTTAATATTCTGCCCTGAAACCTATCAGGGTACATTAGTTTTATTTTATAATTTTGTTCTTTATTTATCTTTTGACAGTAAACCTCTGCTTAATAAAATGGAATTTGCTTTCCAAAAAATACTTCAACAAAACAAGATATTAATGTTGAGCCATTTTTGATGTTAGAAATTAATTTCACCCCTACATTTTCTTGTCAAAGCATTCTGTTGATTAGTTATTGTTAATCCTAGACTGTATTTATTTTGAAGATTGTCAAAGAGTCTCCAGCAACCAACGTTGCCATTTGAAGTCACATTTTTCTCTTAATGTCTTTATTTCCAATTATATATATAATAAATGCTGTTAGTATTTTTCTGTATATATTTGTAATATAGGAATATGTGTAGTAAATGAAAAATTCCTCAGAGGGACAATTAAAAAATAACTTGGAAACTATAGATTTATTTCCCCTTATGCAGATACATGCATTAAAATAATATTACAGTGCCTCTATGGTTTTGTTTGTTGTGAAACTAGAATATCATGACACATTATTTTACTTAAAGGGTAGCGTTTTATTGCTTATGTATCTATACATTTCAAGATAGATTAATTTGACATCATTGTTTAAAACCGTGGTGACCAGGCTCTTCTCTAGGTCTTAAATTTTACCATTGTTTAATTAAAAAAACATTCTTTATTTTAAAATGACCAAATTGCAGCACATAGGAGTTAATTAATTAGACTTCTGAAATATTCTACAGAAACAGTAGAACTGGATCACCCCAGACAACTGGAAATAACATCTATAAACTATAAATACTGTTTTTTTCTAAAAGAAATGTACTTGCATGAATTCTTTTATGTAAAGGAGACAAGTAAAGGTTTGATCTTTTTCTTATCAGGTTACATGAGACTCGTTCAGGAGATATCTGTAATGCCTGTGTCCTGCTTGTGAAAAGATGGAAGAAATTGCCAGCAGGATCAAAAAAAAACTGGAATCATGTGAGTTTATCTTTCCCTCTTTCTCAGTTGTACCTCTGTTATATTTAAAGTAACACTAGTTTTTCCCCTAATTTAGGAAATAATATGTTTCTGGGGTAGAAAAGTCTGAAAAAAATAAAAATACTTGTTGCTGCTTAGATATAATCATTTAACATTTTGGCATGTTTGGGAGCAAAATATTAATAGCTTGGTATGGCGTTTCCCCTGAGGTTGTATTGAATATACCCATTTTGGAGATTCGCAGTGTACATTTAACATATTTTTAGGTTCAACCCAGAAATTCCTCCAGTTAATTAGACATGAATCCTTTTTTTCATCTCTTAGGACAACAGATTTCCTAACTCAGGCTGGTACTAATGAGCACATGGGTTTACATTCAGAACTGGATTTAAACCCTCCTTTTTTACCACTCACTACTTGAGTGAACTTTGGACAAGTGACATTTATTTATTAGGTGCAAAAAAGGGTAATAGCCATGTCACAGAACTGTTGTAAGAACTGAATGAGATGATATGTAAAAAGAATAATTAGTAATCACTCAGTTAAATAGAAGCTGTTTTTATTCTTTATGTTAAATTGAGATTTGCATTTCACTTTATAATGTCACTAGAATTCTTCAGAAAATATTTTCAGTGACCAGAACAACACTGTTAAGTGTTATTTCTTTTTCTATATGCTAACTTTCAGAAGATTTATGACATTTATACAAGATACTTGCTTTTAAGCAGGCAGGCATTTATTCTTTACATTTCTTCTTACGCTAGCCTTACGCTGTTCTTTGGTGACAATGTTACATTATTATAATAGGTTTCTGTGTGTCTGTTAACTTATAACATTGTGAGTTTTTCTTTAATTAATAGCTTATGTGGGGAAGATCCAAATTGTGATTTTGAAGGTGATGTCAACCTTTTTACATCAGGATGCACTCATGCTAAGTTGCTTCAGTTGTGTCTGACTCTTTGCAACCCCATTGACTGTAACCCACCAGGCTCCTCTGTCCATTACATGAGGATAGAAATCTGTAAATAGTAAATATGAATGAAGACTTGAGAAATGAGACCATATGGGGCTCGACCAGTGGCCTTACCAGGCTGTGGGAGAACATGCCATTGCCCACACGTGGCTGACCTCAGGCTTAAGGGTGTGTAGTGAAAAGAGCATAAAGCATAGGCCTGAAAACCCTGATTTGAGTCTGGCCACCTTCCCTACCTACCTTGGCCTATTTACTAGTTTAGTGAAATAAGGCAAAATACATAGTTTAATATCTCTTGGTTTTCTTTACCCTAAAATTGGAATAACAAATTACTGCTTACTGCTTTGTGGTGAAGTTAGAATCAGAAGTATATGAAAACGTTTTGTAAACTGCAGACATCATCCAGTAGGAATGTTAATTGTTGTAAGGTCTGGTTTTTCTTAACCTACTTGGCTCATTTTCACCATATATAAAATCTATATAAATTTTTTGTCCAGCAACTCCTGCTGTTACTACTTCAAAGTAAAAAAAACTGTAGATAAACTGTTTTTAATACCATGTGATGATTCAAAGTGCACATGAGCTCTTAAACCTAAGTAGAAAACTATGGTTCTCAAATTTGGCTCCTTCAAATAAGCACTCATCTGAACTAAGGGAATACAGAGGTGTCATTTTTAAAATGGTATTAAATATTCAGTATTTTCTTCCAGGTGGTAGATGCAAGGGCAGGACCCAGTCTAAAGACTACACTGAAACCAAAGAAAGTGAAAACTCTATCTGGAAACAGAATAAAAAGTAACCAGATCAGTAAACTGCAGAAGGAATTTAAACGCCACAGTAAGTTGGATATTGAGACATGAGGATTTAAGAATGGATGTTTTGTTTTTGTCTGCGGGTGGCACATGGCATATGTAGACCATTTTTTCTTTTGTTGCTTTTTTAAAAAAGAGTGGGAGGCAATGTTGACTTGGTAGAGATATTTTATTTCTAGGAAATCTTGGAACTTTATCTTTGATTTTGATGTCTTAAAAGTACTTTCATTAGCCACTTCTTCAAACTGTACTTAGAACACTTGGACCATTCTCATCTCTTTATTGACATCTTTTCTAGAAGATTAATGTTTCAAGTGTGTTTACTTGATTTTTATCCTTAAAGAGATTGAGGCCTGAAGATATGCAGAAAGGCATGTACATAATTAGTGGGCAACCCGAGACTAAAACCCAGGTTTTCTGGAGAGTAATTTTGGAAATCATAACTCACATAGTGCAGCCTCAAGATTTTTAGGTTTAAAGGGGCTTGGTGTGTTGGGTCAGAGGATGGGAAAGAAATGATAAATTAATAATAAGTTCATCTACTTTTATGGGAAGTCATTGGGGGCAGGGGATCTGTTGTAGTACTTCTGTATTTAGGAATTTAACTTTTGAAAAGGAAATCCACTGTATATAATGTTATTACCCCCAGGGGGTTTGAGGCAGCACTATTGAGTCAAACACAATAGTGTTTCTGCAGGAGAAATGGAGACATACTCATATCAGTGGGATAAACTAACTGTAAATAAACTAGTCATGTTTGCCCACCTGATTATGGTCCAGATCAGGCCGATTTGTGGCCAAATGGGTTAGAAATAAATGTTTAAGAACCTTTTCAGAATTGTAGGTGGACCTATATTGGAGTTTTCCGGATTAAAAAAGATCTGGGGACTTCCCTGGCGGTCTAATGGTTAGGATGCCACTGCATGGGGCATGAGCTGTGGCTAAAAAAAAGATCTGTAGGCCCTTGTTAGACAAAGTATTATTAACCAATGTTTGTTTTAGAGTAATGGAGAAAGACAGTTAAATTTACTGATCAGACAGAAGGAAAGGAAGGAAGGAGAACTATCATATCTTGAGCATTTTGATATATATACCAAGCACTTTACAATTATCCCAGTGATTTCAGTTTTAGAGATTAGGATAGAAAGTACAACAAGGTAGTGATTTCACCTTGATCTGGGGTCATTTAATAAGTGGTAGAGATGAACTTGACCTGGGGTTTGTCTAATACCAAAACACTGTGCCCTTTCTACACAATCATCCTGCTCTTTTAGATAGCATAGCTGGCTTATGCCCCAGGGCCCCAAAGTCTTTGCAGATCTGCTACTGACTCCATGCTCTAAGTTGGTGTTACTAGTAAGTTGTTGTTGTTACTAGTCCATAGTTATTTTGATAATATATTTAATCAATTATATATTTAATTAATATATATTTAATTGTTGGCTAAACTTTTATAATACATTGGTAGTAAAATATTTAGATAACATCAAATATGTGTATATTTTAATCATAGATGTTTGTTTCTTAACCAACTACCACCAAGGGGCAAATAAAAACTGACTCTACTACCCTTTATTCTCAGTAAATGTTTTAGTGAACGTTTAGAAAACAGTAATTTTCTTATCATTTGAGGAGTAGAGAAATTGAAAGTTTGTATGTATATTCTTAGCATCTTCCTTTAATTATAGGGAAGGTGACACTTAACTTTTGCCTTACCTAAGGGAATATGTCCAGTGTAATTTTAGATTTTTGTGATAAAGCTATGTTGTGGAGGGATTGGAGATTGAAAATTAATGGGTTTGGAAACTCAGTGAAACAAGATTTCCTAGGTGCATTGTGAATTTGCTAGCAGCTGTGCTCAATGTAACAGTTTTGAGATATTTGAATTTTTACACGTCACCCACTAAATGGTTTCTCTGCCTCTAGTTATGTATTTACTTCTGCGCATCTTACGTGTACCTGGCATGTATTCATCACCTTGGGATGTTCTTTCCTTTGTGATATACTGGAAAGGCACTGAATCTAAGGCTTGAAGATCTGGATTTGAGTTCTTGAACAAATATGTGACCCTGGTGTTGCTTAACATTAAACCACAGTTTCCTAATCAAGAGAAGTAAGGATAAAGCAAGTAAAAAGGGCTTTTGTAAAACAAACAAAAAAAATTCCTCTAGAAATGTTAGCCTTTTTTTTTTTTTTTGTCATTTTCCCTAAAATCTGCCATGATTCTAGCTGCTATAGAATAAAATTGAAAATCCCTAGCAAGTCTTTGGATGTCTCCTTTAGGGAAAGGGTCAGTTCCCTTAATGTGCATGGTGTATTCTGTTGCCATCACTTTGCTCATCATCCCCGTCTATCCCATGTCGGGGATGGGATTTCCAAATCCTACCTAATGTTTAAGATTTTAAAAATTTCAGTTCTTATATAGTTAGAAATGGATAAATATAACTGTAATTTCAAATGGTTCATAGATATGAAGCACTTACTAGGATAGTGCATTTTCTTCAGAAGCATAGCACAGCATTGCTGTTAATTATTAGGGAAGTCTTAGTGTTCCCATAGCCTTACTCCTTTAAAGCCTGCTACTCTTTTTTTTTTTTTTTTACATTAAAAAAATATTCTTTTACCATTATGGTTTATCATAGGATATTGAATATATTTCTCTGTGCTATACAGCAGGACCTTGTTGTTTATCCATTCTATATGTAAAAGCTTCCATCTGCTAAGCTTACCTTTCCACTTCATGCCACCCCAACCTCCCCGCGTTGGCAACCATAAGTCTCTTCTCTATGTCCATGATTTTGTTTCTGTTTCATAGGTTCATTTGTGTCATATTTTAGATTCCATGTGTAAGTGTTATCATATGGTATTTGTCTTTCTGTCTGACTTATTTCACTTGGTATGATAATCTCTAGTTGTATCCATGTTGTTGCAAATGGTATTATTTTGTTCTTTTTTATGTGAAGCCTGCTGTTCTTAAGGATTTTGTTTGGTTGTTTTTTTCCCATGGAGTTAAACTATTCATAGATTGGAAGTAAATGAACATATTAAAAACAGTAATGGTGCTTTCTTTGTTTTAGATACTTAATATTATGCTATTTTATGTAAAATTTTGTTAATAGAAAACACTTGTGAGTACTGTTCAAAAAAGCTTTCTTGAGTCTTGTTTCTCCCCATGCAGGGTGTGACACAGGGTTTGTTGTCTAGTGGATACTTCATGAATATTTGATTGGTTCTCTAAATTGGAGGATTGTTCTATCCACCTGTCCTGGGAGGGGGGAGTCTTTAGATAAAGGTGAGATGTGTAGTAGACTCAGCCCCTGACTGATATTTCTGATGCTGAGAATAGCAGTAGGATGGCTTATAGCTCAGCGACTATTAACCAAAAGATTTATATTCTGGTTTGTAAATGTATGTGATATCTTCTGAGGGCAAAAATACTAAATCATGTGTAGCTTATATCTGATTAACTGCCTTTATTCCTTACTAAGTTAGAATCTGTTGTTTTTGGTTTATAGGTAAGGTTTCGTTTTTCTTTTGATGCTTTCAAGATTTTTCTCTTCTTCTTCAGTTTTTGGGAGTTTAATTATAGTGTGTTTTCTGGCAAAGATGGTAAAGAACCTGCCTGCATTGCAGGAGACCCAGGTTCGATGCCTGGTTTGGGAAGATCCCTGGAGAAGGGAATGGCTACCCACTCCAGTATTCTTGCCTGGAGAACCGCATGGACAGAGGAGCCTGGTGGGCTACAGTCCATGGGGTTGCAAAGAGACATGACTGAGTGACTAACACTTTCAGTCTGGCATTGGTTTCTTTGGGTATATCCTGTGTGACGTTTGCTCAGCTTAAGTCTGCAGGTTTGTCTCTTGCCGAGTTTGGCACGGTTTCGGCCATTATATTTGAGTACTTGTTCACCTGCGCCTGCTTTGTCCTCGTCCTTCAGGACTGCAGGTCTCTTACGGCTCTTCATTTATTTTCTTTAGTGTTGTACGGGTCGGGTGATTTCTGTTGTTCTTTCTTCCAGTTCACTGATTGTTTCCTCTGTCCCCTCCATTCTGCTGTTGAGCCTGTCCAGTGTCCTGCCATTTATTGTATTTTTTGCAGTTTGGATTTTAGTTCCTTGGTTCTTTATAGCTTTTTTTTTTTTTAACTGAGACCTGCTTATTGAGCTTATGTTTCCATATATTTTAAGCTTGTTTATAAAGGCTCACTGAAGCATTTTTGTCATGGCTGCTTTAAAATCTGTCAGATAATTCTAGCATCTTTGTCATCTTGGCATTAATATATACTTGACTTTTCATTCAATTTGAGATCTCCCTGGTTCTGGATATGATGTGTTTGTTTTTTTTTATTGAAACTTAGACATTCAAAAATTGTGTGATGAGACTGAGTTTTATTTAAACCTTCTGTTTTAACTGGCTTTTTTTTTTTTTTTTGGTCAGAGGGGGAAATGGGAGAGGGGACAGCCTTGTTCCTGCAGGGTGGTGTTAAAGTCAGGTTCCCCACCCAAGCTCTATAGATATCTGAAGTGGGAGTGGCTCCTGACTGCAGCTGGGTGGGGGTGGGGTGGGAATTCAGGCTCCCACGTGGTGGGGCCCTCCTGTTCTTGGGGGGCCATCGTGAAAGCCCAGACTCTCTAGTCCACTTCCACTGCCATCACCCTGGTGAAGGTGTTGGGAAGGCCTCATAACGCTTTTGATAGGATGGAAATCTAGGCTTTCCAGTTGGCCTTTGCTAGGGTGGGTGTGGGTAGGGACCTGTTTTTTCTGTTTGGCTGCAGTAAAGTGGTTATTGTGTTGTAAAGATTTCCTGTCTTGCTAGACTGCCCCTTTCTTGGTCCTCTGAAGAGAGAGAGCAGACTTTGTTGGGGGGTGTGTGCCCACGTGTGTGTGTGTGTGTGTGTGTGTGTGTGTGTGTGTGTGTGTGTCTCACTGTGTACCCACTGGCTTTTCTGAATTGCTGGCTTCTTCAGCTTCAAGACTGGGATTTATAAGGCAAAAATAAACCCTATAAAAGCTAGGGTGCTCACCTCCACATCCTTACTTAAGTCTTAAGCCCTGTAGCTGTTGCCAACTTTTGGAGGCTTTAGTTTTGTTTTGCATGTTACATCCTTTTATGTTTCTAGTTGTACTTATTAGCAGAAGAGAGAAAAGTATGTCTACTCTTAGTCTTACCAGAAGCTCATTTTCTTTTAGATACACTTTAGTACAAATACAGTAGAATAGACAATAATTTTTTTCCATTTTCAACTATTTCCTTCACTGTGTTTTATGCTGAGGCTTAGTTGCGATGGCATATAATGAAATGATCATTTTTGTTTTCTCTTTACTTCAGATTCTGATGCTCACAGTACGACCTCAAGTGCCTCTCCAGCTCAGTCTCCCTGTTACAGTAACCAGTCAGATGATGGCTCAGATACAGAGATGGCTTCTGGCTCCAACAGAACGCCAGTGTTTTCCTTTTTAGATCTCACATACTGGAAAAGGTAAAAGCAACAGAAAATATCTCTCTAACCAGCAAACCTTCTTAATTATAGGCAACTGTTTCCCACTTCCTTAGCAATTATATGGCATTTGGCAAACAGCTGGTAGCATGTGTGGTTGGAGGTGGATTAGGCAAGAATGGAGCTGAGAGTTTGGATTTTGTGTGTTTTTCCTATTAAAATTGATTTAAAATAAAAACCATGTTAAGGAATCTAAATTTGCTATAATGGAGTTATACTTAGGTATTCAACTCTCCCACTGAAAAAGAGTAAAAAGACTAGAAGTATATATATATATTTTTATGTCTTTAAAAATGGCATTAACAAGTGTACAAGTTAATAAGAAATATATATGCATGCTCAGTCACTCCGTTGTGTCTGACTCTTTGTGACCCCCATGGATTAGCCTGCCAGGCTCCTCTGTCCATGGGATTACCCTGGCAAGAATATTGGAGTGGGTTGTCACTTCCTCCTCCAGGGGATCTTCTCGACCCAGGTATCGAGCTTGTGGCTCCTGCGGCCCCTGCATTGGCAGGCAGGTTCTTTACCCCTTAGCAGCCTGGGAAACCCCTAATAAGGAATCACCAGAGGACAAATGCCATGTGAATGAGAAACCCCAAAGTCAAAAAAGAGATAATAGACCAGGAAAGAGAGAATATTGAAAGAGAAAGTGGTTAAGGATTTTGTAGCTCATAGATTTGGGAAGACTATAGCAAGTTAAAAGCAAGGTAATAAGCAGTTAACCTATGGGTAAGGAAAATTCACCCATAAACTATGGAACATGGGAGGCAAAACAGTTAGTGAGAAAATAATGACTTTATTTTCAGAGGAACAACAAACACACAAGCTGAGTTCTCAGCATGAACAAAGGATGCCAAAAAACCGTAGATTTAACACCTGCAGTGGCCCCAGAGATAATAGCTGGGAGATAATTCTCCTAGGCAAGAATACTGGAGTGGGTTGCCATGTCCTTCTCCAGGGGATCTTCCTGACCCAGGGGTCGAACTCATGTCTCTTAGGTATCCTGTATTGGCAGGCGGATTCTTTACCCCTAGCACCACCTGGGAAGACCTTACATGACAACAATAGAATGTAAATCAAAGTAGTAGAAGTAATGGGAGTTAAAATGTCCTAATATCTTTGTATTGTTGAGAATAAATATATTGAATAACTTTAAAGCTTGGTTAATGAACTGTATAACCACTAAAAGAATAAAAATAGAATGTAAAACCTCCAGAGAAGAAGTGAAAGACCATGAATTTATACCTAACAAGATAAAATGATGAAAACTTCTGTATATTTGTAAATTAAGAAACTTTGGATCAAGAAGAAAGTGTAAGTTAGAACATCCTTATAACTAAAAAATAACTGGAAAATACCACAAATCAAAATGTGTGGTATGAAGTTAAAGAGGTAAATAGAAGAAAAGTTGATTTTAATACTTTCTTTTAACACAAAGATTTAAAATAAATGAAGTTATATATATCCAGTTTATAGATTAATGAAGCTCAATATAAAGAAAAATAAAAGCAAGAAAATCCTAGAGATAGAAGTAGGAATATATGGAGTAGAAAAGCAATATGAATGAATAGTATCAGTAAAGCCAAGAGTTGGTTCTTGAAAAAGATGACCAAAGAAGTTACTAGAGATAAAGCAGATCAAGAAAAAGATGGTACCCTTCTTATTTCTTGGATAAGAAAGTGATATTCAACCCTAGAAAAACAGAAGTTTAGAAGACAAAGGATATTATAAACAACTTTATGCCAATAAATTTGAAATACAGGTGAAGTGGATACATTAGTAGAAGAAGACAGTTTACCAAAACTGTGCCAAGAAATAGTAGAAAACTTGAAGAGTTGCATAATAAAATGTATTCAGTGGTCAGAAGTCTTCCCACAAAAAACCCAAGGCTGAGGTAGACAAGTCCTACTGAATGTTCCAGAAACAAATGAATCTGATCTTGCACTGGCTTTTCCAGACTATGGATCAAACAAGGCCTAGGCTCCAAGCATTCTGTGAGGCTAACATAACTTTGATATGTTATAAAAAGTTTTCTATAAGCATATTAGATTTATTCTAGGGATGTGAGATTGTTTTAAGCATTAGAAAGCCAACTAACATAATTTGATAGTTCCTAAAGGAGAGAGGAAAATGCCTATTGTTTTAGTGGTGTATTGAAGATATTTGATAAATTTGAACTTTGCTTCAAGGTTTAAAATAAAACCTTTAGCAAAATAGGAATAGAAGGGAACCACACTGATAAATACTTTGTATTTTCAGGTAAAATTGAACATGTTCCCATTCCTATATTTCAGCAACATTACCTAGAAGAAACTTTCAGACATGTGCACTGATATGTACAGCATGTTTGTAATAGCAAAAATTGTCCCATCAGAAGAAGAGTGGATAGCCCTTTTCACCATTCACCTAAAACTATCACAACATTGTTAATTGGCTGTATCCTAATGCAAAATAAAAAGTTTTAAAAAGGAGAGTGTGCAAACTGTGGTATATTCACATGGTGGAATACTGTACATAAATTAAAATGAAAAAAAAGCTGTAACAGTATAGTATATATGAACCTCAGTTATTGTTGAGGAAAAAAATTGCAGCATACAGTATGATTCCATATATGTGCATTTCTGTATATATTTTTTATTTTTTGTATTACATATATGAGATAGCAAGCAATATGTTTAGAGATGCAAACATGTTTACAAAGAAAAAGGGGAATGATAAACCTAAAATTTTAAGGAGAGAATGAGATTGAATGGAGTGGGATTGAGAAGGGCATACAGGGGGATTTCATAGGAAGTAATTGTTTTTTTTTTCTTTAGAGTGTGTGATCCATGGGTGATTTGCTATGTTGTCATTTTGTATGCCTTAATGTGTATGATAATATGTGTGTATATTTTTTGTCTGATCAATATCAAAATAAAACCACCAACTGTATCAGCCTGTTCATGGTGGCTGTTTTTCTTTAAGATGTGGTGACTTTTGGAGGAAACAGTTAATAACTTTAGGAGCAGCCTTTGAAACTGAGGAATGCCTTCTCCCCCTTAATATTTAATAAGATTCAGTGTGGGATTTGGGCTTGCCTTGTAGCTCAGCTGGTAAAGAATCTGCCTGCAATGTGGGAGACCTGGGTTCGATCCCTGGGTTGGGAAGATCCCCTGGAGAAGGGAAAGTCTTCCCACTCCAGTATTCTGGCCTGGAGAATTCCATGGACTGTATAGTCCATGGGTTCTCAGAGTCGGACACGACTGAGCAACTGTCACTTGTATATATGTGCGTTTGTATGTATATATGTGTATGTATATGTATTTGTGTGTTTATATTCCATGTGTGTATGTATATAAGTGCTAGTTGCATCGGTGTGTATTTGTGTATGTATGTATATATGTATTTGTGTTTGTATGTATATGTGTGTATACATATGCACATGCGGGCATGTGTGTATATGTTTGTGTTTATGTATGTGTATGAATATGTCTGTGTTTTGTGTATGTGGTGTGTGTGTATATATATATAGTGGTATGTGTGTGTGTGCATTCATATGTATGTATGCATATGTGTGTATTTGCATGTATATATGCATGCATTTGTGTTTTGTTTGTGTATGGTATATGTTAATATGTGCTTATATGCATATGTGTGTTTGTGTATATATTCGTGTTTGCATGTATATATGTGTGTATATGCACATGTATGCATGTGTGTGTTTATCTGTATGTGTATCTGTGTATGTGTGCATTTGTATATGTTTTTATGTATATGTGTACATGTATGCATATGTGGGTATGTGTGTATATATGTGTGTATGATTATGTCTGTGTTTTGTGTGTGTATGGTATATATATATGTGTGTGTGCATTCCTATTTATGTATGTATATGTGTGTATTTTCATGTATGTGTGTGTGCATTTGTGTTTTGTATGTGTATGGTATAGATATGTGCTTAAATGCACATGCGTGCATATAAGTTTGTATGCGTATGTTTGTATGTATGCATAAGTGTATATATGTATGTTTGCGTTGTGTATGTATGGTGCATATTTGCTTATGTGCAAGTGTGTGTGCATTTGTATATATGTGTATGTATATGCCTGTGTGTGTATCTTTGTGTGTATTCAGATGTTNGGGTGGAGAGGGAGGTGGGAGGGGGGACTGGGATGGGGAATACATGTAAATCCATGGCTAATTCATTTCAATGTATAACAAAAACTACTGTAATGATGTAAAGTAATTAGCCTCCAACTAATAAAAAAAAAATACATATATATATATAAAAAAAAAAGAACCTGCCTGCAATGTGGGAGACCTGGGATTGATTCCTGGGTTTGGAAGATCCCCCGCAGAAGGGAATGGCCACCCACTCCAGTATTCTGGCCTGGAAGTTTCCATGGGCTATACAGTCCACGGGGTTGCAAAGGGTTGGATGTGACTGAGTGACTTTCACTCACTTTCACTTCACAAATACCCAATAAACTAAGAAACATCCTTCCTTATTGATTGCTAAGTTGTCTTTGATTAACTCAGTTATTTCTTCCTGAATTATGCAGATCAACACAATATCAAATGAAATGGATTTTATACTATGCAAAACTGTTCAGTATAAGTAAAAAGCACTAGAATGCACAACAGATATGTTAATACACTGTATAAATTTGCTGAGCAGCCTTCTTCATGTAACCCAAAATGGAAACAACCCAAGTGTCCATTAACAGGCAAACGGATAAATACCATATAGCAATAAAAATAAGATGACACCTAATGCAGGATCATAATAATCATACACATACAAATACTGAGCTAAAGCAGCAACAAAAGAATATATGTATACAGACATGCATGCATATGGACAAAAATATAATTTCACTAACAAAAAGTTCAAAAATAGGAAAACCTAAGCTCATTTTCCCTGTCTCAGTGGTAAAGAACCCACTACCAATGTAGGAGACCTGGGTTTGATCCCTGGGTTGGAAGATCCCCTGGAGAAGGAAATGGCAACCCACTCCAGTATCCTTGCCTAGCCTGGTGGGCTGCAGTCCATGGGGTCACGAAGAGTCGGGCACGCCTGAGCGACTAACACTTACAGACTTTAAAATACAGATCTCCTCTGCTTACCTTAGGGTTACACCCCAATAAATACAAGTTGAAACCATTGTAAATGAAAAATGCATTTAAGTGACTTTCCTCCCTGTGGTCCAATGGTTAGGAATCCGCCTTACAGTAGGGGGAGAGGAGGGAGAGGGAGTGAGGAACACCCAGGTTGGGAACTAAGATCCCACAAGCTGCAGAGCCACTGAGCCCTTGTGCAACAGCAGCTAGAGTCAGCTGCAAGGAAAGATCCTGCATGCTAAGTGAAATAAATATTTTAGAAATGTACAGCTTAGCCTGGCCTACCTTAAACATACTCAGAACATTTACATTAGCTTACAGTTAGCAAAATCATCTAACACAAAGCCTATTTTTAATTAAATATTGAATGTCTTACGTAATGTATTGAATGTTGCACTGAAAGTGAAAGCCAGAATGGCTAAACATACTGGGTAGTTTACCTCAGGGTCATGTGGCTGATGGGGAGCTGTGGTTTGCTATGGCTCCCTGCTACCGGTGCATCACAAGAGTATCCTACTGTGTATTGCTAGCCTGGGAAGGGATCAAAATTCCAAGTCTGATTTCTACTGAAAGCATGTCTCTTGCACGATCGTAAAGTAAAAAAATTCAGTTGAACCATCATTAAGCCAGAGATGGACTATAAAAGACATTTTAATTGATGTGCACAATGAAGTGATTTTAACAATAAAGAACAAAAGTTCTCCGGTGATTCAATGACTACAGTGTTTTTATTACTGTTGTCTGTACATATGGGAAGCACCATTGAGACTTTAGAGAAACTAAAAATTGTTTGGAGACAGATTTTGGCATTGGGATCAGACCTAGGTTCTCTAATTTCTGGTCCTACATTAATTATGTGAGTCACTTGACTTTGTGAGTCTCCAAATTTTCTGTTAAGGACTTCCCTGGTAGTTCAGATGGTAAAGAACCTCCCTGCAGTGCAGGACATCTGGATTCGGTCCCTGGGTCAGGAAGATCCCCTGGAGAAGGGAATGGTAGCCCACTCCAGTGTTCTTTCCTGGAAAATCCCATGGACCGAGGAGCCTGGCGGGCTGTAGTCTATGGGGTTGCAAAGAGATGGACATGACTGAGTGACTAACACTTATATATAAACTTATGTTACTTTGCTTCACAGAATTTTTTCTAGATTTATGAGGAAACCAAGAGGTATAATTCATACCAAAGGGTTTTGTTTTTTTCTGTACCACTCTGCCTGTGGGATTTCAGTTCCCTGACCTAAGGATTGAACCGGGGCCATAGCAGTGAAAGCCCAGAATGGTATCCACTAGGCCACCAGGGAACTCTCATATATCAAAGTTTTAAAAACAGATTGTTACTTGGGCAAGGTATATTCTGTGGGTCAAACCTTTTATACTACAGTTAAATTTGCTTTGGGATAATCCAGGTGATTTTGCCAGCACCTAACCTAGTTACTGTGAAGCTACTAAATTAGGTAGTGAAAGATGATAGCACCTACATTATTATCTATTGCTGTTTAATGAAATTACCACAAATTTAACGGCTTACAAGAAATTGATTTCAGTTTCCATCTAGGTGCAGTGTGGCTGGGTCCTTTGCTTAGGGTCTCATAAGGCTGCAATAGGTGTCAACTTGGTTGCATTCTCATCAGATGACTTGAGAATAAATCACTCCAAACTCGCTTGGGTTGTTGACCGAATTCTTTCCCTGTGGCTGTGGAATGGCGGGCCCCCCTTGGTCCTTACCAGTTGTTCAGTCGCTCAGTTGTGCCCGACTCTTTGAGACCCCATGGACTGCAGCATGCCCGGCGTCCCTGTCCTTCGCTATCTTCCAGAGTTTGCCCAAGCTCATGTCCATTGAGTCAGTGATGCTATCCAACTATCTCATCCTCTGTTGCCCCCTCTCCTTCTGCCCTCAGTCTTGCCCCGAATTAGGATCTGTTGAGGTTTCCCAGCTTGGCACAGACTGCACCAAGCCGGCAGGTCTCCAGAGCCAGTCCGCAGGCAAGTGTCGTTTGGTCCACGTTCAGGTCATTACAGTGAGCACAAGTGGTGGAGTTTGGGAACCATCGAGTTTGGTCTGCCATAGCACCTCTTTCATAAATGAACCACTTGAAAGTGTCCTATAATACAAGCATTTGGTGTAGCAAGAAAAAAGAAAAAGAAGCTCCTCCTATTAGGAAAAACACTGTGGTGGGCCTGGCACCTTTAAACTTTGTTCAAACAACCTCACAAGTGAAAGAAAAAAACAACAAAAAATGCGTTTACAGGTAGTGAAGGGGTGCAAGGGGGCCGTATAATTTAAATCAGCTTTCCTGATTGCAAAGTCTTTGCTCTCCAGACTA